TAATAGTGAGCATTAGCCTAACCAAAGTGAGGGGCCGTTGCCTTGTCTGCACAACATTTCTTTATTCACTTTTGTCAAGCACTGCGACTGTACTTTACCAGGTAAGTGACTGTGTGATGGTGGATGTGTGAAACCTTTGAACCAATACCATGAAGATAAAGAATCATCAATGAGCTGTGATATACTTTTAGGTGATTTAAAGCACTTTAGATTAATTTGAACTTTTTGCAAACCAAAAATATCAACTTCTATTTCACAACATTGTTACAGCATACTTTCTAAAAGGTTGCATACCAGGAAAGTTTCAAAGCACTGGGAGTCCTGACGCTTGGAAGTAGCAGGCTATACATAGGTCCTCAAGGGCTGATATGTTCCTGGCGATTACAAATAACACAGATCAGATACACCAGTATTATTCAGCTCTTTTTTTTTTTCACTCAACTCCAACTTCTTTCCTGAGTCCATTGATTGGTTGTAGTATGGAGCGGCGGGCTGCTTCCCGTCACCCGGCTAGCTTTACCCGAAATAATTACACAGAAACTGTATTCTTTTAAACACTGTTTGGCCCATTAGCTCTGGCCTCTTATTGGCTAATTCTCTCATCTTGACTAACCCATTTCTAATAATCTGTTTAGCACCACGAGATTCAGCATGTCTGACCTGGAGGCTGGCTTCATGGCAACTGACTCACTTCCCTTCTTCCCAGCAATCTGTTCTGTCTACTCCTCCCACCTATGTTCTGACCTATCAGGCCAAGCAATTTCTTTTTTAATTAACCAATGAAAGCAACACATAGAAAGAAGATCCACCTATATCAGTTGGTCCTCTTTTAATGCATGCAAATTATGGTGACTAACTTCCTGTGACAATTTTACAAATACATACACAACACACACACATGCATGCACACACACAAAGGAGAATATTAGAAATAATAGGTACAACACCAGAAGCTACTTTGGACTTAGATATCCATACTATCAGAGAAAAAGCTCCAGAAAACAGTCCTATTTACTGCATGCGGTAAAATGAACAGCCATCCAATATTCACAGCAGTGCTGGAGAACAAAGGATCTTTGATGATGAGTTTGTTTTGAGCTGTGCCACAGTACCATGAACATTCATGTTATCAGGCAAGACACATGCTTAGTGCATGCTGTCACACAAGTTCTCTACACAAACAACACAGAGACATGCATGATTAGGATCCTAAGGCTAGTCTGCTAGATATCACTTTTTATCCCACCACAGGTTCATATCCTTCTGAGATCTTTTTCTTTTTCAAGTATACATACAAAGAGAACTTCTGCCTCAATATCATATGCTATTTGTTATACTTCATTTATTAAAAAAAATCTTTTTTAGATTTGACTCTTCCTAAACTCTTCTTCAATCAGGATGCACAAATATTTTCCAAATTTTTTAATTCTGTTGAAAGTTCTTCCCTGAAAATATGTGACAAAAACATTCTAAATAAAATGTTTCCATATTTTAGTCAGCAGATATTTTAGATTACTAAAATGAGGCTTGCTAAATAATTCCAAGGAATGGGTCAAAATACTGTTCATACACAGATGCATATTTACATAAATGAGGGACTCATTATATATTGATAGATATTAATGGCTATCTTAAAAATGATTGTAATCAGAAATTTCTAAGTTACTTCAGAAGAAGAATATTTTTTCATATTTGTCTTTCTCAAAATCTTTCTAGAGAAAGAACATAATGCAACAGAATAATGCAGGGGTAAGCAAATCATTCTTGTCTGGTCAGGGGTTTTTAACACATTATTTTAATTGCCTGGTGTCTCGCAGTAGGTAATGACCCATATATTTTGTTCAAATTTGGTTTGGGGGAATTGTATGCTAAGGCAATTTTACATTGAAAAATCCATCTGAAAAGCTTTTAACTTAAAAACTAGGACGTTAATGAAAAATGAAACAATTTTCTTTTCTTTCTTTTCTCCTCCTTTTTGTGCTAAAACTGAATTTCCAATTTCTACCACAAGACTCAGATTGTAAAGACTTTGTTTACCTACAAATTAAGAAAAAAAGTATCTAGAGCAAATAACCAATTTTATTGTAATTGTTGTTCACTAAAAGCACATCGAGTTTAATTGAAATGTGATCTCTTCAGTTCAGATTATGTGAGATCTTGAAGGCAGGGATGATCTCAATTCTCTTGGTTTTGATAGCATACAGACTGATTTTCTGACTAAGGACATCTTACTGTTGCTTATTTAGCATTCATGTTTTGCTTATTATTCCAACTTTTTTTTTCTTAAATAGCATTCCTGGAATGCCCTATGTTCTTTAAGGTACATCATATACCTAAAGACATCTTTAGCAAGCATTCTGTTATGAATCTTCCAAATTTGTCTTTGAGAAAAACAAAAAATAAGCAATTCCAAAATAACTTTGCTACAGACTTCATTTCTTAGTAGAAATAATCCCACAAAAGATAGCACCCATATGATATCATTGACCTTGTTTTGTGACTTTTAGGACATACTCATGAATGTGAAATACTGATGTTTGGCAAAAACTGACTATCATATAAAATCTTTGAGGAAAACTCTCCTCTGCAGTGTTCACTTGTCCTATAGACACATTTCTTCTCTAGAAGATAGGAGGGGTTGCTGGGTAGATTCTCGCCAACCCTTTCTGGTTGCCCAACACACTCTTCCGGACTCTGGAGTGTTTTATAGGTTATTTAAGGAAAGGCTCTTGTAATTAAATGAAAAGCCATAAGAAAACCATCCAAATGGAATGTGTCAATGTTTTCTTTCCCCAGATCTTTCTTAAAATTAAAACTCTTGTTGGTTTATTTGACTTTTGAATTTCTGCAGATTTCATTATGGAAATTATGTTTGCTGGAGAGAAAAGTTTTGGACTCATGAGCAGTATAGCTTGGCTGAGATTAGAGGATGAGTTTCTTGGGTAGAAAAAGAAAAAAAAAGAGGTGTTTTTCTTTCCAATCCTTGACTTAAAACCTAGTGCAATGTCTAAGATGGAGCTTTTATAGAATTATCAGCTATTTTCTAGTATACTGAAGAGATAACAGATATTAACCCAGGACATTTGGGGGATTTTTCTTGGTCGTAGTGTTGTTTCACATAAAACCTTTCTTGTTTTAGTATTTCAGGGTGGGATGGAGGGAGAGAGTGATGAATTGAATCACATAAGCTTGTTTCCCCTTAATTTTTTTCCCCAATATGGTGCTAGTTTGGAGTCAATACTTGAAGAATTCAAGTCATTTAAATTAAACCCTCTAAGATGCCCCCCCCCCCTTCTTTATAGTTAAAGACTATGGTTCAAAACTGCTGACACGACCTCGGAAACTTCACGGGAAGCGTGACTTAGTTCAATCCTTTCCCGACAGTTTTCGTGCCATCTGCAGCAGTTCTGCGAGAGTGCCATGAGAACTCTTATTTCTTGGTTTCGCATTATAAACAAGGAGAACTAAGTTCAGGGGAGGCAACAACATCCATCCGACCAAACAAAAGGCTCCTCAAATGTCCTCAGTCTCTTTCCTAATATTTTCCAGTAGGGGGAACTAAAGACTCGCCTAGCAGCGGCTCGCTCTGCTCAGGGACCTGCGTGATTTTCTGTCAGAAGCTTTACAGTCACCTGAACAAGCTTCAAACAGCTACCAGCGAGGCTGTGATCACACGTGGGCTCGGCCACACCAGCCACGCCAGGTCACCTTTTAGAAAGTGGTTTCCGTCTGATTTAAAGTGGACTTCTCTAACTATCTCCAGCACCCAACAGAGTTTTTGTTTGGGATGTGCCGGTTTTATCGTGTTTGGGCTGAAATTCTGTCCTTGAGCCTCCGTTAGTCTAGTGGGGTTATCAGCATTCTTAAATCGGAGCCCACTTTCCAAATTTCCTTCTCGAGGTGCTAGGGAGGGCGAAGAGCCTAGAAAACCACTTCCTCCAAGTGCTTTGATCTTGGACCTCCTCTGTTCCAAGAGTCTTCTGCAAGAACTCTTTTATCACAAAATCCCGAATTTACGCTCAGTGTTGGGAGGTCAGAAGGCAACGGAACATTAGCGGGATTCCAACCCTTCGCCTCTCTCCTCCTCCTGGGGATTCCCGTGCTAGCCTTAAGAGGCTAGAGATACCCCCAGCGCCTCTCCCACCCCCCGCCACACCGCTTATTTTTGAACGGTTCTCTTAAAACACATAGGAAGTATGTACACAAAACCTTTCTACTCCAATAGGTGCTTTATGTTTGATCCCCTCTCCTTTCTTGTCCTCCCTGTTGGCCAGCTTCTCCTTTCTACTAAATTAAAGTGTGTGTGTATGTGTATGTGTGTGTCGGTGTGTGATTTTAACGGGTAATGAGGCTGTGCCCGGGGTCCTGGAAGATCATCTTTTTCTAGAAAAGCTCTTGTGCAGCTCCAGCAGACGGAGCGATGAATAATTAGGAAGGGCTTCCATGAAATCACTCACCGAGAAAATTACCTGCCCATTAAACGGGCCGCATGAGGAGCAGGAGGCTGGAAGCCCACCTCACCCCTCCTGAGGAGGAAAGGAGGGGGACACCCGGGAGGCTCCTGGAACGGGAAAGAGTTGATGGCTAATCGTAGTCCTCTCTAGCCCGCAGCGTTTCCACATTGGTTCATTTCCGTCCCCCCTAAGACTCATCGCTTGCCCGATTACCGCAGCTTTGAGGACCCAGGGGCAGGCTGTCGCCCCTTGCACTGGAGGGTGACCCGGTGGAGGTGGAGATCTGGGTGCACCCCTTATCCTCCACCCCCCATCAGGGGACCTACTCGGAGCAGCTCTTTCCTCCTCCTCTTTCCTATCCTGCCTCCTCGCTTTCCCTCCTCCAAGTCCTTCCAGCCCTAGGCAGCTGCTGGAGGAAGCTGACGTCCGCTGCCGAAGCCGCGGCTGCACGGGAAGGGGCTGGAGGCAGGAGGGATCCCGGAGGCTGGACCAAGCGCTAGCATCCTCAGGGCTCCCAAGTCCGGGACTCCCTAGTCGAGCGGCGCTCACCCACAGCAGCTGGACTCAAGCTCGCTCCGGGGCGGCCCCTGGGGGTGGCCGCGGCCTCAGCCCAGCCCCTCCCTCTTCCCTTGCTCCCTCTCTTCGCCTCCCTCCTCGCTCCCTCACCACGTAGGAGTTCCCATTCTCCACCCCAGCCGTCCTGCTTTTCCCCCTTTCCTTCCTTTTAGAAACCAGAGACTCCGAGGGAGGCGACCAGGCAGCAGAGGAGAGGGCCGGCTCACAAAGTGCTGCTTTGACACATCCTTAGGATGGAAGTTAAGTGAAAGCAAAACAACCCAAACAAAACTCCGCGAAGTGGTGCTGCTACGGGGAAGGAGACCAGGGGGCTGAGAAAACCCGGTGGGCAGGCCAATGGTTGTTCGGCAGCGCGTTGGCAAGTTTGTGGAACACTTTCTAGGAATTAGGTCTTTTTTGTCCCCGTCATCTTCTTGACTTCTGAAGAAAGAACTTGTGCTTGGATTGCAATGGAGTCTAAGGAGACAGGGCTAGACGCACGTGAATAGTCCCGCTGGCTGGGCTGAATTTGTGGGAATTTCGGAAGCCAGCCTGTGGAAGCACAGCAGATCTGGAGTCCCTGGGGTTCGTTCGGATGGCTACCAACCTGTCCCATGTCAGAACTCTTCGCCAACAGCTTCTGATGTTGCCATTTTGCTCCTCTTGACCTTAATTAATCTCTAGGAAAGTCTAAACTTCGGACCTACCTCTTTTTTTGATACTTATTTTTGTACTTCTGCTCTCTGGGATTGGTTTCTTAAACAATCGGGATCCTTTTTCATATGTCAAAATGAGTCCGCTGATGTTTACACTTGTATTGCTCTTTGGATTTCTCTGCATTCAGACTGATGGTGAGTTAAAACCCCGTTTTTCTTTCTGAGGTTGTTGTGGCTTTTAAATAAAATGTCATTGTGGTTGGTAGTGTGATTTGGCCATGCCCAGGCTCTTCAGGGGCAGAGGTGCCAAGTCTTTTGTTTCTAACCTGCTGTTAGTGGAACATAATATAGTCACCTATTGTTGTTACTGTAACTAATTAATTGAGGAGTTTTACAATAAGTGATAGACTCCCAGCTTAGAAGAGTAACCGTTAAAGACAATGTCTTAAAAGAACTTGGCATGATTGTGGCCACTCTCTATTTGGTATTTGTTCTCGTATCTAAACTTTGGTTTAGGCATTCAGCTGCAGAACTATAGTAACTGATAACTTCTAGGTGCATTCAGTGAGTAGGGATTTGATACTGGGCAGCTCAAGGTTCAAAGTGTGTCACCTGTGTGCCAGTGAATGCTATCCAGGCATGAAATCAGAATGAAGGATTCAGATAAAGAGAGAAAACTGTCACAAGTGGGACTGGGCGAGGCTCCAGGAAGGAGGCAGTATCCTCTATGGGCTGGCTGCAAGCTGGGAGCCCTCAGCTAAGTCCCCAGTGGACAAACACAATGGGGATTTGGAACAGGTGCTGTAGGTGTCTCCGCCTTGGTTGAGCCACTCTGTCAAGCCGACAGATCTACCTCTGGCTCTCCTGCTTTTGTTCACAGTCAGTTTCCAGGGTTATACTCACTGACTAGCTGGGTCTTGGGAGATTAGGACAAAATCCATCTGTACTGTTTGCACGAGAAAGATTAAGAATTGTGAACATATTATGGATTTGTTCTTTGAAAGAAAAAATGGTGTTGGCTTCTGGGTCATTCATTTTTATATCAATAGCAAATGTTCTTTATACAGTGTGTACTAAGCCACTCACCCCAATCCCAGGAACTGAGCATGGAAATAATTTCCAGTTTTAATTATTGTGCTTATAAAGACTCTGAAGTATATTAATTCAAATACTTAAGACATCCAGGTATCATGTTGCTAGATAAACTTTCCTTCGAATTTATTACTTGGGACATTGTCTAGTATTGCCCATCTGCAGGAGCTAACTTTGTGTCTAGAAGCTACTTTACAGAACCTAAGTACAGACTGAAAGGGAAGGCTAGCTATAAACACAAGGCATTGCAGATGAGTTTACCTACTGTCAAGTGGCTGTTTTCAGTTGTGGAATGGAATATATCAGTTCAACATCCCCCCTCCCTCCCCGCAGTGATAGGGATCTGTGAGAGGTGTTTGTGAGCACATTTCTCTCTTTCCCTGCCTAGTAGTAGAAGCTTAGAATTTGATCACTATGAGTGACACTGTGGTAATTTCTATAATCATGTGTATAATCATTATTCGTGCATTATCATTTCTAACAGGTTTGCTTTGACCATACATGGATATTATCCTAATAAAAGGGTTTATATATTCCAAATATGTTAGACTATTGTATTAAGACTTTCCTATACCAATGTATTTATAAACTATATATTCAACTGTAGAATTAGCACCATTTAAAAAGCAATCAAAGTCAGGAAGAATACACTTAAATTGCTTAGTGGAAGTGGCAGAAGGAATCTGAAAAGCCTGGTGTTACAGAATGTAGTTAATGTACCGAGGTGTTTGGAGATGTATGCAGCAAATGCAATTAACCTGTGTGCTGGAACAGCAGTAAGGACACATTTTCTATCCTCGTTTTTTTTTCTCTTCCCACTTCACGCACTCTGCCCCCTTTTATCTGTTTTTTCCTTCTATCTTTTCTTTCCATCTTTCTCCTGCATGCCCTCCCCCTCATCTTCTTTCTCCTCCTCCTCCTAATTTTACTTCTCTGAAGATATCTTTATAACCTTTGTTCTGATTTCTCATTGTAAAATAAGGAGGCAGTTTTTTGTCTGGACCATCTGCAAGAGAGCTCATGGTAATAAAATGAGAAATGCCTACAGGTAAAAGACTTAAGGCTAAAGAGGCAATGTTCAGTTTCATATATGTAAAACTTGCTGGGTTGGGATCAAAAGCAATTATAGACACACTTACTGAGTTCACACGTAACCATATATTTGACATTGGCTTGTCTTTGGATACTTCAGAATGGTGACAGCTCTTCCATGTGGATTGTTGAAATTTTGGGATGTGGACAATACTGCCATCTAGGCTGTTTCAATACTGGGGACCCTGCATTCACATATCCAATGAGGAGACTGGTGTACAGCACCTCCAATGCTCTGCCTTTCTGGATTCTGTGATATTTATTTACTTTTTGTTCTTCTTGGTGCTGTGGGCTTATTTTCCACATGAATTTCAAATTTAGAGAAGCTTGTACCATTCCAAAGATATACTGACTATCCTTGTGCTCAACATAGAAATTAATTTTATTCGGTGACAAATGATACATAGATTTGCATTAAAATTTGCTTGGTGGGTTATTTATATGTGCATTTTTATAGTGCTTGAAAAAATGTTAGAGTTTTGCCTCCTCATAGAAAATGTGTGCTAATATTATTTATGAGTTTTCAGATTCTTTTTCCTATAACAAGCCATAAAAATAAATATTTTAAGTTAGTTGAAAACTGCAGATGAACTTTTTAAAAAAATCTCTGATTTGAAAGTATTTTTTATTTGAAACAGATTAATAGCCATATGGAGGTTTTGCTCCTAGTGATATGGAATGTGTAATGAGTTTAGCCTTTGTTTAGTAGATTCTGTTTTGAAATAATAGTGGTTTTTAACTCAGTTATAGGGATAAAATTAGAATGACTATAAGATTTTAAATTATAATCCCATTCCGTATATTAATTTCATGTTTTTCAAATCTTCTGAATGGCGTTTTTACAATGATAATGGTTTTCTCTTCTTTTCTCCTTACCTATTCTTAAATGACATGACACACGTGGTATTTGGGGAGATAAAGATAATGTATGTGTGCAGGGCAGATGCATAATCTCGCATAGGTTTATACATTTTGCTAAAGTGCTTCTTTCGGTAATGGGCTCATTATCGTAGCCATATGTAGCCCATTTCAGAACTTGAATTGCACATGAGTAACCTGAAATTTGTTCTTGTAGCTAAGCAGTAATATCACATTTGAATTGGCTTTGTTTGAATAACCTCTGATGCTATGCAACATGTGGACCATAAACCAAAAGGATTACTTAGAACATTAAACAAGAAAATCTTCAAGTAAAAGTCATGATTATACACACAAAAACCCCAGCTCTTGTCATTTTACTCCTCAGAAGCTTGTAAAAAATAGCATCCTTGACAGTAAAAATATAGATAAGTATGGAAATGGCTTAAATATGGATACATATACAGTGGTAGATGGGCTTCTCACTGTCTCCCTCCCTCTGTATTTTCCCCTCTGGGGGTACATATGGGTATGTATGTGTGTGTATGTATGTATTTAGGAAAATATAATTTAAAGTGCATGAAGTAAGAGATGAATTTATTTCCCATGAGCAATTTGGTTTCTGAACAATATATGAAAGTGGAGGCAGTTCATCTTACGTTCTTTCTTATTTTTCTTTACTGCTGCTTCCTTCCCTCTGCTTTCTTCTCATTCCTCTTCTCCTCCTTCCTTTCTTCCTTCTTTCTTTCTTTTTTATTTTTTTTCTATATATTTCTGACAAGGCAATGGAATTAGAGACATTTGAAGAGAGAACATTGTTCATAGTCTTTATGAAATGATAATTGATAAGGTCTGTATCTAAGGGTGTAAATTAATATTTGTGAATCTTAAGTATATTTACCTTTTGTTTACCCATTCCCACTTTCCTTTAATTAAACTATATAATTTTAAATAAACTTGATATATATATATATATATATATATATATATATATATATATATACTATATTTCTCAAAACTAGAGAAACTTAAGTTCAAGGCCCGAGTTCAAGCAGAAATGGAATCTTGTAAAATAAAATTTTATAGAATTAATTTTAAATAATACAATTGTGATGTCTTCTATAGTTTCTCCAGGTACAGACCTGTCAATTTCAATCAATATATGACATGGTATTCGTTTTCTTCTTATGAAATATAGAATGAAGTATAACTGAATGATTATAATCTTTTGAGGAAAAAGTTTTACAAAATTCTTTGTTGAGTCTTTTAGCATGGTGCTATGCCAAGATGGATATGTAAAACTGTTTGTGGCATGCATGTACCATCCTCACCCCTACTACATATCTATAATTCAGAATAGTGTTGAAGTCACTAGGCTTCATTTATTTTTGTTTCCTTCTTCATTTCAGCCACTCCTTATAATCTTTCATCTTATCCATATTTAGGCTCTAAAATTGCCTTTAAAATTGCCTAATCATTTCATACTGAGTTGGAGATCTTGAGAATTCATCTCTATGTGTCTATCTTCAGTGCCTGGAGCAATGCTTGCCAGGTCCCTCTGGCTATGTGACATCTTGGTTTAACAACTACTGACACTATGGAAAACTCAAGCCCAAGATAAAACATGTTCATCTCGTAATTGTTTCCATCTAATTAAATGGTGTCATTATTTACATTTTTCATGATCCAAAACAGTGAGCCATTTTTTACTTAATCTCATAGCTCACATCTAGCTATGAAACTAGCTATGAAACAATTAAACTTAGCTTAATTTTGTGATTTCTTTCCAATATCTTATGAATAATTTTAGATACATACTAAATTGAAAATAATTTTCAATAAATATCAAATTTTACACAGATTTTGTAATCATTCATTCTGCTTTATTAATACATACCTACTAATTTATTACTTTTGTTAAGTATCACGTCACCTTTCCCTTCCTACTTCACCATACCTAAGCCAAGGGGATCTTTAGAACACGTGTGAATGAGATGTATACTTGCCTCTAGCTCTTTGCTCATGGCTTCCACCAGGCCTGGCCCAAGGTTATAAGGAAACTGAGTTTCGACTGTCTTCTACCTGTTTGCCTCCAATGGATCAGATTATCTATCTAGAATACCGATTCCGAACATTGGGTGAAGTCTTTTAGC